TAGGGAATGGGAAGAGGATGAAAAATACACAAGAAAATAAAATTGTGTGGGTTTTGGGTTTTCGTTAGGGGTTTGAAGAGGTGGGAAAATTTAGAGGGACGGCGGTGGGTGGGGTAAATGGGCGGCGGCGGATGAATTAGGTAAACGGCTTTCAACCGCCGTGTGCAAACATATCGATAGGAAGAAGACGGAAGGAAAATTTGTTGGGGCCTATCTAAGTCCTTTTATTATTAATAAAAATAATTAAGAAAATGATTAATTTATCTGTGTGTGACAAATTTAAATTGTGAGCTATTAAATCTCAATTTTAATAAATTTAAAATAAAATTTAATTATTAATACATATTTTTTGATAGAAAAATAATTTTCCACGTTCTTTATTTTAACTATCAATCAATATTTTATTATATATATTACACTAGATGTAGTAATTAAAATTTTATTTTGCCTCAAATCAAATACATGAGTACTTTTTCCTTCCTATAATTTATTATAAATTTTTGTCTATGATGAAAGATATATTTTGAAAGTAAAGCATAATTTAGTCTCTTTCATTGACACATCTCTTTTCCATCTCTTGATGTGCAAAAATATAATAAAATAAAATAAAAAATAAAAAATCTTGAGTGTCCTGATTACTTCAACTTAATAAAGTGAATTTTACTATAATTTTTAATTCTTCCAATTGATATGATAATTTGTAAATCAACCAAGTAAATTAAGAGACATTTGTTTAGTATTGTGTGATGTGTAATGTAACTAATAGAATCATGATTTTACCATCAAAATTGAGCAAAAGAAGGTGAAGATTTCAACTAAAACATTTCTCCTATTTTTTCCCAATTTATTTTCTTTAGCTAGGGAAACTACAAATTTTATTGATTTTGTTGCTTATTATTATTATTATTATTATTATTATTATTATTATTATTATTATTATTATTATTATTATTATTATTATTATTATTATTATTATTATTATTATTATTATCCCCCTATATATTAATTCAAAACGTGTTGAGCCTAAGTGGCATGCTGCATGCTTCAGGATCCCATGTGGCAGAATTATGTGCTTCATTATTTGGCTTGGACAATCCAAAAATAATTAGGTCTGGATTATCTATAAATATATTGATTATTTATTGTCATGTTAAATGTACTAATAGCATTTTAATATTACTTCTTATTATAACCATTAAATTATAAATATATTGTAAAAGTTAATAACTTTTGTATTTTTTTATCAGTTTTACATATATTATATATCAAATTAATCATTTTCTTGATGAGCTTCGATTTAACATCAATATTATATGTATAAAAAAATTAATATATTTATCTTTATAACAATAATAAAATTATTTTTAGTATTTAATATTAATTAAAAAATAAATTATTTATCAGTTAACACATTTATATTTCAAGTAGTTATATAATATGAGTTAGAAAATTACTATAATATAACATATGTAAGTCTCGCATAAGTAACAAGTGTCATTCCAAAATATATAATATTTTTTTTTTAAAAAAAGTAATTATGTTTTACAAATATTTTTCTCATTAATTTAAAAATTTAAGAATAATTTTTAACAGCACCCGTGTAATACAATGGTGTTGTACTAGTTTTTATTATTATTGTTATTTATTCCTCTTTTGAAGATTGGTTTTGTTGATTGCAGATAAAGAGTAGTGTAACATTGGAAGTTTTCTTTCACACACACACACTACTCTTTTGACACCTAAAGACTAAAGAGTCAAGGCAAAGTATCCCTTTTCCCTAACTCAAGACTCTTTTAACCCATTTTTTCTTGTTTTTCAAATGCTCAAGTTAACGAAATGACATTTATGTCTATTTTAGAACATTTTTTTTTAATAAAAATCAAATATTTATGCCGTACATTATCATATTTTTTATTTATATTATTTTAGAGTGTGAAGTTTCAATTTAAAATTATGCATATATGTTGAAAAAGTACAAAGTTCTGAGTCCTAACCATCTCCCTAACACTTGCTACAAAATTATTTACAGAAACCACAATTCATTTTCGTTGATTTCTCCTTAAACTAGTATGGTACCCGTGCGCAGCACGGTGGGCACAACACAGCGGAGTTATTTCCTCAAACCTTTATTTTTTAAACTTTATTTTAAATATTTTTTTATAAATTAATAATTTAATTACAATAGAAAGTGAATAGAGGAATACAAAATATAAACAAAAATCATATATTATTAAACACTTCTCTATACATAACATTATTGGTTTGATTTTCTTTCAAACCTTCTTCTCCACAAATTAAATTTTTCAGACCCTTTCTGTTAGTAACACGGGAGACAGCGACATATAACTGGCCATGACTAAAACTTGGTTTCTTAAAGAATAAGCCAACATGCGATAATGATTGACCTTGACTCTTGTTTATAATCATTGCGTACGAAACTATAATGGGGAAGTGCCTTCTTTGAAATTTGAATGGTACCCTAACATCATAAGGAGTTATTGTCATCCGAGGTATCAAAACTTTATCACCTGCATGATCGCCAGTAATAATTTTACACTCGAGAACATGATTGGAGAGTTCAGTCACAACCAATCGTGTACCATTGTAGAGTCCCATTGAGTGATCATTATTCCGCAACAACATAATTGGAGTTCCGACCTTCAAATTCAATTCATGGTTCGGCGTTCCAGAACACTTGATAGTGTTCAAGAACTCAGGAGTATGGAGTTGTGCCACAGAGTCGGTATTGGAGTCGGATTTACACGTACTGTCTAAACTTAAATACGTGCGTCTAGACATGGCCACGGGTCACCCGACCCGGTCAAGCCCGTAGACCACGGGTCCGGGCCCGGCACGGATTTCAAATGGACCGGTCAAGGATCATGTTTTTTTCAACCTTGACCCGGCGGGCCGGGCCGGGCCGGGTCCATCTCGGCACAGAAAAATACATTGCTTTTGAATTTTTTCTTTTTTTTTTAATTTCTTTTTTATGTGGCCAGGTCCAAACTCGGGTCGGGCCCGGCCCGGCCCGTCGGGTCATGGACCCGGCACGATCCTAGGTCAGTGCCGGTTCAGGGTCGTCAAAACCCAACCCGATGGCCCGGCGGGCCGGGCCGGGTCGTGACCCGACCCAGATTTTAGATTCTACGATATTGAGTGTTGGCACAAGTATAGCTCTATCCTTCAAGTAACTTGGATCGTCGGTTGCATTCTTGAACATCGGAAACGTGCTTTCAAAAATTTTTGCAATTGGATCATCGGATGACTTTAGTAATAGATCGTCTGGTATGTCTATCGGAGAATATCCATCATTTTTACCCCCCAATGTTCCATCTCCAATGCTCTCTATCCAATCAGCAAAAGCGGCTAACTCGTCACGTTCATTTGAATCGCCAATGCTCTGAAGACGCATATTCTTTGTAAGCCTAAGCACAATACATTCTCCCCAAATGCTAGAAGAGTTAATAGCAACATTAACAATCTCCTGACGACTCCCCTTTGAAACTACCAGAAGGATTTGTAGAAAGTCTCCACCAAACACAACAGTCTTGCCTCCGAACGGTTTATGATGATTTACCGGGTCGAGGGCTCCCATTACTACCTTAAAAGATGCTTGAACAACTTCAAAACAATGCTTATGCATCATTGGGGCCTCATCCCATATGATCAATGATGAGCGAATAATCAACTCGGCAAGGAGGCTAGCCTGATTGATCTCACACGATGAATTTTCATGCACAAAAATAGGAATGCCAAATCGAGAATATTGTGCAGTTCGTCCGCCCGGCAACAGGAGAGATGCTATTCCACTTGATGCAACACAAAGCACAATTCGACCGTGTAATCTTAGCCGAGCAGCTAAAGTCCTCCACAAGTATGTTTTTCCAGTTCCACCATAACCATACACAAAAAACACGCCGCCCCTGCCGGAATGAACATGTCATTATTTTGGAATAAACACCATTCTGTTCATCGGTCATATGTGTCAGCAATGTATCATGCTCAATAGCTAGAGCCTTACGGTCATAGTTAAGTTCATCCAAAACCAGACGGTTCGCACTTGAATTAATACTACCCATATCTGGAAAAGGCATAGTATAATAGTCATTTATCCCAAACCCAACCTAACTCAACCCAACATAATATTTATTTTATATTTATTTATATATTTATTAAATATTATCTACAATATTTTTTTGTTATTGTTTTAGTTGTGATATGATAAAATAAAAGATATGATAAAATTGATAAGTTACGATTAAGAAAAAAGAGTGAAAAGATAGAAATTGCAATTATGTTCCAAAATATATCAAGAGTGGTCTCTATTTATAGAGAATGAAAAATAAATATTTATTTATTTTTTTTCATATAAATTAATACCAATAATTTGAGTTACATTATCTTATTATAGAAAAATTTTATAGACCAATAAGAATGGGATACTTGCCCCGTTTCACTCACCTCATTTCTTTCTCTCACTCCTTGTGACTAGGTTGCGATCCAGGGTCACAATTTGACCTGAGTCACGGATTTTGCTATTTTTTTATTCTTTTATTATTTTTTAGTTGGTGACCTAATAAAGATAGTATAATATTTATTTTATTTTTATTTATTTATTTAATAAATATTATCTACAATACATTATTTGGTATTGTTTTATCTACAACCTAACCCAACAAAATAATTTCAGTTGTGTTCCAAAACATATCAAGAGTGGTCTCTATTTATAGAGTGTGAAAAAATACGAATTTTGGTACTTTATTTTATTTTTTAAAATAAAATAATATCAATAATTTGAGTTATACTTATTTTATCATTTAAATTTATAGTGGACCAATGAAAATAGGACAAGTATCTCATTCATATTGTGTGAAAGTTAGATAATATGGAATATCTAAAAAATCTTCATGTAATCTTTTTATTTAGATTTTTTAATTTATTTTTTTTTTTTCAAAATTTTCAAAATTGGTT